ATGCATGCGTGCTTATGCATACAAATACATTTATTATATGTATCGTATGTGTTCGTCGTATATGGATGTCAATATTTGATATACGCATATATAGATGCATAGATAGATAGATAATGCAGAGCAAATAAAATTGCTGCAAATTGATTGTACATCCCGAGAGGATTATCATCTCCTCGAAGCAATGAGCGCATATTTCTATAAATGACAATTGGTTGACGATGAAGAAGCATTTGGAGTTTCTAGCAAATCTGTTTTTTGTGGCCCAGTCATCCACCCTTCATCCATAGTTGATCATTTGAGTGAACTCGATCAGCTGTTTACATTCAGCATGAGCGATTGTGTGTGTTTGTTTCGTTCAGCTAATGTGCTGCTCTGTTGCTGTGTTGATGAGATATCCCATTTTAGCCAATACGGATATCACCTATTTCATTAGATTTTATCAGCGTTATGGTGAAATCGTTATTGTTATCAGAATGCTTCTGAGTAACTCAATTTCCTGCTAATCAGTTGTTCATCGATGTTTGGTAATACCTCATTTGCAAGTGGATGACTGCGGAGAGCTGGCTGGGCGATTTCAGGACGTATGTGAAGAGGAGGTGAGTATGAGTAAATGCTGCTGCTTGCTAGTAAGGCTACAAACTTAAGCATGAATGAATTTCTCCACTTGCAAAAGGCATTGAAAGTGACCATGGATAGGTAATCGAGTAGAAAGATGTTTTGTTATTAGATACATCTCCTTACCTGTCACATAAGCCTAATCATATAACCAGCTAATTGCTTATGCTGATTTTTCTCGATTATCATACAATAAACCTACAAAACAGGTGATTAATGGGTATCAGCAAAAAAAGATCCCTCTGATCCAGTTCCTTGCAATGCTCCACTCCCAATCGAGCACAGTAGTGCTGGATTGGTCAGAGCGATAGGCCTGCTAGGCTTGGTTGACTAGGTTGGCTAGGCTTACTGCACTGCTTGCCTGCTGGCTCTTTCTCTGTCTCTATCTGCTGACTGCTGGATAAGCAGCTCTTATTGATGGCAGCCAATTGGCAGCTTCTGACGGATTATTATCACTATGATCATCATCGTTATTATTTTTCATCATATGTGAATGAACGAAGAACGAAGAACGAATGACGGACTGAATAAATGTGAATGAATGCGAGCGAATGCGAATGGAGAAATATAGCCATGCGTATGAATATAATTCATAGAATCGATGTGTTATACGACGACGACGAAGAGAACATCGGTCGTTTCGACGATAGACTCGTGCAAAGAAACAGAAACCGAAGAAATGTACTCTTGATTGAATCGAACGAGCGAGCGAGCGATCGACATAAAATAATATCATCCATAGCGGCAGCAGCAGCAGCAGCAGCAACAACGTACATCCATAACGCATTCATTCATAGATATTATATTTTATAATACTCATAAACGAATACTTACATACACGCACACACACACACACACATACACAGACACATACATTCTCATTCGTTTTTCATTCAGTTCAGCATCTATCTGCCTTCTACAGTAATCCAATTGAATTTATACATGTGTATTTTTTTGAAGATTTTATTACGAATTTTTGTTCACAGCAACAATATCTCAGAAATGTTTTAGTTTCATTCAATCAAATTATCATCAGTTTATCAAATGCAACGACGCAGCTGATGATGTGAAGTTGTTTTATTTGATGATGTTGAGGCAGATAGCATGAGTTATCGATATCGATATCGATGCAAGGAGCGATAAAGAAGTAGTAGTTATAGATAGAGTTTGTTGGTTGCGTACTCAACTGACTGAGATATGACGATGCAAATGGCAGGTGGCAGGTGTGTGTGTGTTATGAACGTTTTATTGGGATAACGCTTTAGGCGTACGGTAGACACTACTGAGCACTTTCGGTCTGGATATCCATTAGGATATAAGATATGAATTGAATCCAGGTCACGCCAGGAGCCATGCGGAGGTATGTGTTAGTCCTGAAAGAAATCCAACATCTACTCAAGTATTCATTTTGTAATTACTGTTGATTGAGAGGGATATAATTTGAGCCTCATTAGCATTCTATCCGGAGATGTGGACATTTCAGTACTTGTTGACTGTACAATAGAGACGTTGATGATAAAGCTATTGATAACCGTCAAAATCGATCCAGAAATGGAACGCAACATTTCAGGTTGCCTATCGTTATTGTATCAGATATCACATCCGCATAATAAGATTATCAGACGTACCATTAAGGGTAAACAGGTAAACGTACCATTCAATTCATAGGCGCAGATTACGAGAAGAGAGAATTATCTGAATTGTCACCAACTGAATTTTCCGGGCCANATTCTCGAATACTTCAAACAGTCGATCGTCTGTTAATTTTGGAAATTCTTATCTCAAAATTACTCTCAGTGCTTCCAATAGTTTGCGGTAAAATTTATACACCGTTCTATCGGTTGTAAATTGATTGCATATTCTACAGGATGTCACTGGGCATTGTCGGGATCTCCAACATAATGGTGCTGATAATGGTAACGAAATTGATTCAAAGGATTTGACGTAGGATTTGACGCCACCGATTTTAGTTCGCTTTTGAAATTGGAGAAAAAGGAAGAATTAATTGGGTGTCATCAGGAAGTATACCTTAAAATTACAGTTATTTTTACAGTTAGGTAGGACTTTTTCAATCATTAGCCCATTTCGTAGTAGTTCTTTTTCGATTCGTGCACCTGCTGAATGGTACACTGTACAGTTTATTTGCATGTTCANTATGGAAGTTGAGGAAATTAATATGCAGTGATCGTAGGGCATAGGTGAGGGGAGCAGGATGCAAAGGGGTCTGGACCTGAAAGAAACGGAGAGCCCCTAGCGCCTTCAGTTCATCTTGGCTAGGTCCCTGATCATCTTGTTCAATGCGATGAGGTAAATAGTGTGTGCTGTGTGCTTGTGCGACCGATTGAATCGACTAATAAAAGATTTAGATTAGAATTGAATCGCTTAACGAATTCAAATTGCTTTCTTTGATTTAGACGAAATGAAATGAAATCAAACAAATTGAAAGTGATTCGATGCAAGTTTATTTGAGGAGTGAGTGAATTGTGTTGGTTGTATTATAAATCAAAAGAGCAAATATTGTCATCGGTTTAAAGGGTTTCATAACTGAGCATATTCAGTATTGGAAGGAAGGGAGGGGCCAGTCCACTCACCTTGCATCGTCTCGTCTCGTCACAAACCCGTTAGCTGCCAGCCAGCTTATTGTGAGAAAGCATACATTAGCTTAATGTTTTCCATTATAGTCATCATCATCCACATCAAAATATCTCTTGAAAATTCTTCGTCTTTTCATTCACTTTTCATTTCTCAAACTTCAATTGTTCGTTTTGCATCGTTTCCACTTTTTACCATCACCCAAACCTCTCGTCTCATCGTATCTCGAGATCATTCGAATGCATCTCATCTCATCTAGCTTCACAATTTTCAATATCTGTTTGTTCCAGTCCGTTTGTAAAATTTGTCTGAATCTCTGTGAGCCATTGAAATGCCCACTTGCAATATCTTCTTCTCATTCTTCTCCATCATCCCAAATAATCATCGTGGTTATCGCAGCAGTGTTGATCATATCTAAAGCGTCCTCTTTATTTCTCGTCAACTTGTTCAATATCTAAACTTAAGCCTAAGCTTAGGCTGTGCTGCAGTATAAAGCATAAGCTATAGTAATAGAGCATAGAAGAGTTTCGATATGATAGAATATGATTTGATATGAAAAGTATAATATTAATGCAGCAGCGCAATGCGTATTTGAATGTTCCCTGGTTGCTTCGTTTATACTTCTCGTCTAATATTTCAATGAAGCTTCTTCTCATATCAATGATATGTTGTGTGTGTTTGTGTGTGTTTTATCAAAATTTTATTTCTTTTCAATACACATCCATCAACTTCACATTCAATGCTTATTGGCTAAACGCGATTTTGTCTGAAGGCCAGCTGAAAGTTCGCTCGCATTTCATATACAAAAACGTTGCCTTTAGTGTCTTTAGTAACAACAATTTTATTCATTTATTCAATTCATTCATTCATTCATACATTCACTCAATTCAACAGCATAACAATTCTTCTTAATGATATATTCTCATTCAGAAGAAGAAAAAAAGAAGAAGAACGAAAAATATTTCCATTCGAGAAACTATGCGTTGTGCATTATATGCGCTTAGATGATGCATATTCTTGATTACTTTGAGTCTTTTGTTTGGCAAGATTCTATTGCATTAAATTCAGCTCCACAATAGCCATCTTAATTGTGATATTTATTTCTAATATGATTTTGCAATACTTATTCAACGAACACACACACAATTCAGCAAAACACTGACTATGAATCAAAATCCATTATTTAGAACTTTTTCACCCGGCATCCGAATGCGCGTGAGCTTATTCTGATGCATTTTCATTCTGCTCATTCCTTGTGACGGTCATTGCATAATTCCAGTTTTATGCTAGCTTCTTCTTACCTAATTATGAGTTTACTCACTAACTCGTGCTCTTTTACGCGTACACATTTAGCCATTCCTTCAGTCACATTTCTCGATTCCGTGCACTCTCAAATTGTCGCGATTTTGTTGCTGAATTTCGGTGCAGTTCAAAAAGTTTGACCAAAAATTTGTAGAACTTTGTGTTTTCTTCTGTTCACTCAAAACCACTGATAACAAGCGAGTAGCATCAAAGGATCAAAAAAGAAGTTGAAATGAGAAAAAAGTTGAAAACGATAGCGTACTTTGTCAAAAATTGTTTCCAAACGCTATCATCTTCGCAAGGCAACCGAATGCCGTCATCAATTGTTGAACACCAAAACTATATTTTATCGTCGTCATCGTCGTCGTAATCATCAAAGTATAACTCAGATTGAGTATCTGAACTCACTTGTGTTTATACAAACTGACTTGAGTGTGTATTAATTTTGAGTTGAGTATGCAGCGGACCGTATCGCATACCATTCAACAAACTGTCACCTTTACACTTCCCACTGACTCACTCTCGGATTTCTTATTCGAATGAATATTGTGAACTTTTATTTACTTATTAATTTGCTTATCTATTCATTTCATTCACTAGCACTCATTTCGATGTCATTTCCTCGTTTTGTTTTGATTTCATTCAAACCTTCATTGAATCGTCTCTATTCATTTTGATAATTTGATACACACACACTCATTTATTTATCTCGCACAATTCCATATCTACCATCAATTCAATTCACTACCATATCGTTATAGCACTCAAACATTATCATTCGTTACCTTTGCCATAGTTATCTCATAGATTCAAAGTTATCGAAGTAGAATGTCAATCATCTTTTGCAGTTAGTAGTGATCAACTTCGACTGCATTTTTTGTGTCCAATTGTCCTCTTGTCTTTGCAACTTCTGCCCGAGCATAGCTAGATCAAATGATCTGATCAAAAGGCATAGCTTGTGATTTCTCTGGACATGCAATGAATGCCACCTTGAACATGTACAACATTTTCGCTCTGCATGAAACTTGAGTGTTTATTTTGCTTGCAACTCATGAGATTATAGGTTATGGAGTGATATTTTAAGAGTTGCTTGATATTGTCGGGTTATCGCAAGAAAACGTATAGAATGTGATTGATGGTAGTTATCAAATTGTGTGGATCACATTCATTGCAGATGAATTCATAAGCTGATATAGTTTGCTCTATTGGAAACGTAAATAAATATAGCAGTTGAGAAGTTTCATCGTTGTGTTGACTTGACGTTCACTTAACTCTTCACTTTGACGAAAATTCAGTTCATATCATCCAACTCTCACCTTTACCACTCAACACGTTGGCACTGTCATCATCACATCATGAACAACTTCATACTTTCAGTACAATTTTTTGACACCATTCTGTCTTGATCTGAGCGTATTCGTTGAACTGCGATTGATATTCTCAATTGTCAGTTCACACTCTTAAATCCCCGTTCAATTTGCAAGCTTATAGTGGCTAAGATGAATTCATTTCAATCAATGAGGTTTATTTCAATCATAGTAAAAGCGACCTATTCTATAAGAGGATATCCATCATCAGTACATTGATGCTGATGAGACAAACGAACGAATGAATGATGCTATATTTGGAAAACATCTTATTGTTAGGCAGAATTTTGCGATGGACAAAATGGATTTCAGACGTCTTCGGGAATATTTAACCTTTACAAAGAGCTAGTCAAAAAATAATATTGAACAAAAGCAAGGATTGGATAGGAAAATTAAATGTTAGCAATTGGAATCGAGTGGCGAGCAGTACAGAAAAGATGAAATGATGAATAGTTTAAATATGATAAAGAGTTTATATCGTTCTGTCTAAGCCGTCAGCATTACCTGTTTCAAGTGATAAAGAAAAACGATGAGATGATAAGCCAACGTTATCGATACAAAATCCAATATCAATATCGTTATCATTATAAATAGGAAAATCTGATAAGCCAACGAACAAGTGTGTAGTTGGATATGATAGATGTTGGAAGTAGCAACTGTTTTGATTAATGTTCAATTGCAAAAATGAATTACATTTGTCGTTGATGTTGTTGTTGTCGACTGGAGAAAACGTTATAAACTCTCGAGAGTATGATCGGAATTGAGACTGATAACAAGAGATGGAATTATATTAGATAGCAGTTTTGTGGTACATTAATTAGTAAATTAATTCATTCATCTCACGTATCGCCACCCTCCGTTATCGCTTCAAATCGACCAGCATTCATTTATTAACCAGTCAAAACTTCGTCAGTTATTTCATTCATATTAGTTGCCGTTTTCAACCCTTCGATTTTCAGTTTATTATGTTGACATTTGAGGATGGTGTGACTGTACAGCAATCCCGTATAGTTACTGAATTTGGTTACAAAACGTGCAGTAAAGCCGGTCATGCTTCTCGAATGTTTTGAATGGGAGAGATTTAGGTTTAGATTGAGATTGACTGTAAACTGTAAATTGTCTGCACTGTAAACTTCAAAGCTTCAAAATGGTTACAATATCCTACTCCAATGTTAATTAGTTCGAGAAAAGAGATATTCAGTGATTACAAAGGCAAGCACCAAATAAGTCAGGATTACCTCAGTGCAGATTAGATATAAGTTGAATAAACTTTTTTCATGATCTGATTTAGAAAACTTAGAGTCTGCAATGTTTCAGAGCAAAATTCGTAAGGAATTGTTGCTCTGAACTGATTGATACTGTTTAAGGATGTAATGGTTCAAAAAGAAAAGCAAGCCCTAGCAAAGTAATAAATCATATCAATTCATTTTGGATCGACGGACGGATAAATGCTTACGTGATGTTTAGGATTTATTAATCACCGATAATTTATTTCGCACTAACTGAACGATAAATTACGGACAATAAAACGGAAAAACATTCGATAATGTTGAGAATTTAAGTAATCTGCATAGATGACAATCAATGTAAGATAGTGATTAAAACAAAATCGTAGTATACTTTACTTCTGATGGCTTACTGCCACATTATTGTCTAATAATAGAATTTAACTTGGTCAGAAAATAAG